GGGCTTGGTTGGGCCTTCGAAGGACTTTTCCTTTGGGGCCTGGCCATAGCAAAGGCCAGGATTGTGAAGGATATAGCCCAGAGCAAGGAACATTGTGGCATGGAACTATGCTATGTGGCCTTGCAATGAAGGGCTCTCCAGCAGCCAAGCAAGAGGGCAGCAGGTAGTCAGGGACAGGGATAAGCAGAAGCTCTTATTCATGCTTATCCATTGTTTGATGTTATTTCAACTACAAAATTTTATTCCACATATCATGCATGTAAGTGGACTTGGAGGCTGAAGTCCAATCCTATACCACCCTTTCTAAATTATTGAAAAACTGTTAATGCTAAAGATGAGTAGGTTCTCCTCTTCCTTGCTATTTTAGTGACTTGGTCTTAATGAGCAGATGCTGAGGTGTTACAGAAGCAGACAAACTTTCCACAGGCTCAAGTAGGGTGGTACAAAATAGCATTCAGGTGTCTAAGCTTAAAGACCAAGCAGGTAGAAGAGAATCTGGCTCTAAGTCTTCAATACAAGTCTTCTCATTCACCATCGTAGACTACCCCCATTTCTCTCTCATATAAAACCCTTCCACCTCAGTCCTTGCTGAAATATGCAGGATGGGAAAATGATAAGTTGATAGGTATTGGGTCTGAACAGGCTCCCTGTCTCTGGATTTAATATACCAACTTGATTAAACTTGTAGTGCTAATTCAAAAAGCTGGGAAAATATTAAAAGAAAACATTTAAAAGAAAGGGAGACAAAGTTGAACTTGTGTTTTACTAGAGGCTGGCTAACAACCAAATATTTTACTTTCTTTACAAAAATTTTGCCTGTTAGCATGTCTGTGAAATAAACAGCTAAGGTAGGGCTGTCCAACTTCTAAGTGGTTGGGGGTGTTGCACATACTGCACAGGCCACACCAATAGAGTTCCCACTAGGCCATGAGCTCTTGGGCTAAACTGCCCTGCCCCCTGGGGAGGGAGGAGGAAGCAAAAGCTGAGGGAAGGGGAGCCTAGGGATCACAACTGCACCTCCAACTGAAAGGTAAGAGACAGAATCTGGATAGGAGCCCAGGGGCTGCGCTTCCCAGGCTGACAGTTGGTCAGCCCTGAGCTAAGGGATGCAGCCTATTTTCCATGGCTGTGCAATCCTTCATCACTCAGCATCATTTCACCAAACTTTAATGCCACAGCATTCCTGAAAGCCAGAGGGAGTAAAAATCAAATCAAACCGCCAGCCTATTTTACAGTCTCTCACAACCAATTATTTAAGGGGTTGTTGGCTCTTGTCCATTCTTTTACAGACATTAAAAGGGTTAGCATTAAGTTGAGCAGACAACAAGAGTAAAAAGAACTAATTATAGGTAGCAGTGGGAAAAGACTGGATTCCTCGACAGTTTATTCACAAACACGAAGTGTCCTTTTTAAAGGTTTTTCACAAATAAGAACGGATTCCAGGTTTTCTTTGTACAGTAATAAGAAATTAAATAAATGTTTTTCAGAATGCATTTAAGCTTTCTTGCCTGAACTGAATAACGTGTTAAACAGTCAATCTTTTTGTAGTTACCTGGTCTGATGAACAAACAACATCTTAAAGTAGTTTGAGAAAGATGCAAGGACAGATTTGTGGGCCTTGAAGTAGACATCACCAATAGCAACTGTGCAGTCACACAGGAAACCAAACTCTCTTTGAGCATTCAGCTGCTGCAGCAGAATAAGTCCATGGTTGGCCAAATCCATGTTTTACACTCTGAAAAGGAAATGACGTATGTAAAATTAGTGACATATGTAAACCTCTTTCCCCAATATTTGTATGCTATAATTGTATTGTACCCTTCATGCAAGAATGTCAAAGTGCTTTATAAACAATATCTTAAAATGGTTAATTATTCCCATGTTATAAAATGGCAAATAAGATACAGGTTGTAGTGATTTGCCCTGGATCACAGAGCAAGTAAGAAGTTGAAGTAAAAGGCATTAGAGTGAGATTTAGATGAGAGAAATGATCAAAATCCAAGGGGTGGGGGGGGGGAGAGGAATCAAGAGAGAGGGAAACAAAACGAAAAAAATTTTCAGACTTCCAACTACATAATATGTTGTCCTAGTCTGTTCAGCTAGTAAAAATGCTGTATTAGGGTTTCAGTCATGTACACAAACAAGTAGGTAGAAAATAACACTGACGACAGAAGTGAAACTCACCACCTGTCTACAGGGGAACTGCGGAAAAAAGTCAGATAATTCCAACAGCCCTCAAGGGAAGGGCTTGAAAAAAAGCACCTGACAGCAACCGGTAATTTGGAGCAGGCAGGAGAAGCTAAGAGCTGTTTTCTTTCAGGATCTCTCAGGGGTGGCATATTTGACATGAGTTTATAGATCTGTGGCATAGGTGGGGGTGGACACTTCCCAAACTGGCTGAAGGATGTACAGAACTCATGATGTAACTAAGGGCAGTCACTCAATGGCCTGAACATGGCCCACTGCCTTAGTTCACATGAGATCAGAATTTGTGTAACACAAGTCAGAAGTGGATAAGGGGGAGAAGAAACAATCCTATTTACTTACAGGTACTGACTGCCTAATTGGGGTGGGAGAGGGAAGAGGAGGTCTGATGCTACCAGAAAGGCCTTTCACATTAGCATTTGGCTATTTGCTGCTGATTTAATTCTTGAGCAAAACAGAAAATCCTTGCTGTCCCACCAACACACAAAGGCAGTCAGTCTTCAACCCTCCAAGACGTGCCATGCAGGCAGAGCTTGGGGTCACCTTGCAGGCTGGCTTGCAGCTTCACTTTCATGACCCCGCTGGGCAGGTCTTATCTGTACTTGGGTAGGAGGTATCAGGGTGATAAGGAGGCAGTGCTGATGGCACTTTATTTTCCCCTCTCTCTCTCAACGTCAACTAAGCAAAGAGGTGCTCTTCGGTTTCCACCCACCTGCCCAAGTTTGCCCTGCCACAGTAACAGCTTTACGTCTTGTGCAGCACGGTGCTGAGCACCTGTTCCCTCCCGTCCCAGAAACGCCATGGCTGTCAGTCTGAGCCAGCCCGACAGCCCGGCCCGGGCGCCCGCTCGTGACCTTTGCAGGGGCTGCAAGCGCTCCGCTTGTTTGGTTTCCAAGCGGCTGCAAAGGCCTGGCCTAGCGCCGGGCCTCGCAAGCAGCTTCCCCTCAGCCCGAGGGCGCTGCAGGGCGGCAGCGGCGGCACGGCCCCGAGGCCTCCTCATGCCGCCGGGGGTGGGTTACACGGGAGCTGCGCAGCAGGTGCCCTGGGGCCGAGACTCCTTCCCGCCCTGCTGCAGGCGGGGGGAGGGGCGGCAGCTGCCGGTGCCGCGCGGTGCATGGCGCCGAGGGGGAGGGGGAGCCGCCCGCGCCTCCTCCCCCCGG